GAAGTAGTGTGCGTTCGGCGCATGCCCGCAGAGGGCATTGGAGACGTCGAATCCTTTATCCTTTATTCGTTACATTTATATACTCGCTAAAAACAAGAAGAAAATTAGAATTTAGAAAAGCGTTCCCGCACTTTTGGATCTGAAAATCTTCGCTGTTTTTGGATGTAGTGTCGCGCGGACAGAGATGACCACATTTTTGAAGCTATCTGATCTAGTTTTTCATCTTAGCCAAGCCCGCAAAAAATAATGTGAACAAAGTTTTGCTCACTTGTGTACGAACGAACTTCTTGTCCGATTCGATGGATATTGATCACATATATACAAACATATGAACTAATATTCTTTCTGTTTTAGAACCAGCTAATGGAAATACCCGTTGATTGCGATTGCCGTACCATCCCACTTATACAGCATCCACGACTTGTTGCTGATGGATCTCACACCATGTGGCCCGCACCATTTGGTAAACCTAAAAAGGTCAGCTGCAAAAGCATAGACTAGTTCTCGTTCTCAAAACACCTTTTTAGGCATCAAAGACGTGTAGAAATGTTACTCCAGCTAAAATAGACAAATGTAGTCGCTATATCTTTCCGTTGTTGTTTTCTGGATTTAACCGTAAGTTTCACTCTGTTAGTGCAGCAAATTAATTTATAATTTCCAGTTCTGTACTGGACGATAATGACGGTTCTGAGCTCGATGTCAGAACTCAAGAACGATGACTGGGAACCGATTATCATCCCGGACTGATTAGCTGTGTCTGCAGCGAAGCAGTCAACTGGCTGGTTCTATCCCTTCCCAACCCCCGTGTCCGCTTCTGCAAAAATAATGACCTGGTGCACCTCATACACTCATCACTCTTGATTTATGTACTCAACATATTTATGCACTGCAAAGAGGCAGTGTTATCAAATGCAAAATTTTCTCCAAAAATAAATATGTTGACATTTTGCATGCATGCATGAGTGGTTTGGTAACGCTGTCGTGTTCAGAGAATTTTCGTTCGCCATCCTCTTTTCAGCCTGAGCATAATCATACAGGATGTGATTTCTAGTCTAACAGATATTGCCATTATCAAATTTTTGACTTCTCAACTTTTGACCTCGGACTGAGAGGCGCGCGCGTCCTCCTGCTTGATTCGCATTGCTCAAAATATTAGCGCCCGCTTTACTTCCTCCGGTGTCTCTCTTTCTTAACTTCCTCCACGTTTCTGTTTTTTCCTGATGTACATATTGTTTCACCTCTTTCAAAACTTTATTCTTTAGGCAAGATTATGTTGCTATATCGATTGGGTATCGATTTTTGATTATGGGATTCCTATGCAATAAAACTGAAGAGTATAAGAAGGTGAATAAACAAACCAAAAAACATTTAGACGGGTATTCAACGGCCAACATCGAGTATCATTGGTGTGGAGCGGCAAATCCGAATTGTCCCACAGCCGTCAAAGCAAATGATGTTGAGCTACCTTCCTACAGATTTGCGCAGTTCTGCGTAAATCGCACAATGGCTACCACTTCTTCCGGTGGGTAAAAACTTTTGTTAGTCTGAAATGACGACTTTATGGCTTAGCCCAAGCTGAAGATTAACATAATAAACAATTACCCAAAAGCAATGAAAAACAGATATTTGGTTCCTTCTCAAACATTAGCATTCAAACTTTTGAACACGTAGAGTAACGCTCAGTCTTAGCTCACACCAGCAAAACTTTGATGATATATTTTTTCTTCCTACGCAATCATAGTAGTTGCGCATCAAACAGCCCCTAACCTTGCCAATCTGAGTGCGCTTGAGTAACACCAGCTTTCAGTAATACTGACCAACTCTTGTATTTATTTCTAGTACATTTGAATTTTTTCATTTTCAAAACGACCTCTTCTAGTTGATGTGAACAGCAAAAGTCAGGCGCTTTTGCGCGTTAGAACCACCCACTGGTTATCCAAGTCTTGAACCAAAGCATCATAAATGAAACAGTTTTACAAGTATTGACTAAAGGAGATATATAGTTGATAAAGTCTTGATGCCTTTTCTTCCGTTAAAATGATATTGCAACCAAAACTCGCGACAGTGCT